ATCTGGGTAGAGGATTAAAACAAGCCCAAACAAGGAACCAAAATATAAAGCAAACAAGTCAAATAAGGAAAATCAAGTAAAGGTGATCTAGCCCTAAGGTAACCCCACTTTTAAACAAAATCCCCAGCAGAGTCGCCAGTTCTGTAACACAGTGGGAGAACTGACTTGGGATATTTTGCGTTCGATCGCAATTATTGCGAATAGCAAGAGTCACCACCAACTTTTCTTTTATCCAATAAGGAAAGGCTGAAAAGAACAGGAAAGACCTTTTGAGATTATTTCTTGAGTTCAAGGGTAGATTATGAAAAGGGAAGGTGTTAGAACCCTTTTCATCCATAGTTATCTATGGGCTCTTAGTTGCTTGCTAGATCATTTGCTTGTAAGTGTGCTTTGTGGTGGTTTTCTGAAAGTATTTTTGAAAAGTGCCTTTGTTTAGGCTAACTTTGTAATGATTCTCGTCTCTATAAGAATGTATACAAAGTGTTGGACTTTTGAAAATATTTCATGTTTTGAAAGTGTTTAGTGTGTGTTTGAAAAGATGTTTGGTTTTAAAATGAGCAAGCAACTAAGAACGTTTCTACCTACTCAAAAGTCTTTTGTTCTTCTCCTCCTCCTTTAGATGTTGCTATCTTACCATTGATTGGTAAGAAGCCTTATCTTTGGATGTAAAAGGGATGGGCGTGGGTCATCGTATAGTCATGATAACAATGTTGTGAGATATCTTAGCATTTCTCTTGAGGGACTAAGATCATTTGCAAGGCAACATTCATAGCGTCATCGAGGGACTATGATCTTGTATTTTGATTGTTTTTGCTAAGACATCTCACATGCATAACATGACCATTTTTTATAAGGAAACAAGTGGAATTACCCTAGGGGTGCATGTGTAAATAATGTGTTTGATTTGCATGCATTTAGTCTTTGATTATGGGTTGTCTACTTGTTGTTTTTATCTTGCCGTACATCCTAATTACTAACATTTATATAAAGCAATAAAAATACAGAAAATAAATATCCTACACTATTACAACCATATTGAATAGCAATAAAATGTAAAGACAAAAACAAAATAAAAAAGGGGAAATAAGCCTTTTCGATCCAGGCAGCAACATCCTTCGATTCTGCTCTTCCTGGCATCTTTCGATCTGGCCTGGAAGGGGTGAAGACGTGGCTTTCGACTGAGGTCTGGGGGTCAGCATATTATGCCTTCTGGTTGGGGCCTAGAACCTGTGCAAGATGCAATCTGCCTTTTTTCCTCCTTCGACTAGGGGTTGAAAGCAGTGAGAGAGTGCCTTTCGACTGGGCCTGGAATCAGTGTAGGCACGCTTTTCCTCTGGGCCTGGAAGTCAGCATGGTGTGCCTTTTGGTTTCTTATTTCGATCGTAGAAATGTAAAGCTCCCATGTGAGATTCAAAAGGCTTCAATGCTTAGCCAATCGAAGGAATACAGAGAGCCTGTCTAAACTTGAAAATGCAACTAACAAGTATAACTTTCAAAAGCTACAGGCCAGGGGTTAGCACAAGATTTTTGGGCACCAAAATCTAAAATCTAACTAGTCAGGATTGAGACTTTCAACACGCATGCAATGAGGATCGAAAGTTAGGGCATGGTCAACTTCCTAAATGGGATATCTACATTTTCCTTTTATTGGTATGTACAAATGATATTTAAATGAAAGAGTTTCAAGTTTAGAGAGAACTTACCTCTTGAAGTGCTTAATCGAAAGAGTTGTAGGTGGCTTCTTTGGTGGTGGAGGCAGCTTCATTAGAATCTTCCTAAAGCTAGTTCAGTTACTGCTGGGTTTGGGCAGTCACTGAATCGAAAGATAGTATATGATAGTGATGAGTGAATCGCAGGTTATTACGCTACAATTTAGGGGAAGTGAATCGAAAGGTACACTACTGAGGGTTTTTTGTGAGATAAAAAAATTCTTAGAGTTTTGAAGGTTTGAGAATGTTGGAAAGTTTGAGAACAATGGAGAGTTTGAGTGCTTTAGGATTTTTATGGTTTTTCTCTCTAGCAAAAATTTGGCTCATTTCTTTGTTAATGGTTTCTCTATTTATAGAGAAAAGGTTTGGGAGTTTAAATAAAGATGTGGCTTGGATGAAACGTGAATATTAAGCTATGTCAGATTTTTCAAGATACCAAGGTGAAGTACTAAAGTTGTTGGTTAAAAGGGGATGACTTCCCTGACTTATGGTGAAATACAAATAGGATTTAAGCAAAGCATGGGCTTAGGACAGGATTTGTACTAGCAAGTTCACTTTCATAAAAAAAACTTCTGGACAAAGGCTTAATCACCTAGACAATAACTTAATCCAAAATGTAAGCAATTAATTATGGAGTGAAATACAAGCATTAAGGTCTGTAAAGTAAGATCATGTAGCATGGCCCATAGATTTGATCAGTGTTCTTTCAAAATCCTATTTTCCACTTGTGTCGAAGAGTTCTAGAAATGTACTAAAGAAGACTGCTTCGAAGGGAGCAAAATGCCCCAAACGAAGCTTATGGATTAAATTTGCATCGAAGGAGATTTCCTGCCCAAATGAAGTACGTAACCCTAGCTTTCATTCGAAGGAGGCCACAAAGCCAAACGAAAGATGCATGCAGGAAGTTTAAATATGCAATTGAAGGATACCAAAAGGAGGCCATTTGCCTTGGAATCAAAGGAGGCTGCATGAGGCTTTTTGCCTTGTGACTTCATGCCAACATGAAAAAAATCTATGTTTGAACGAAACTTGCATGAAGGGAACCAACATGCCCAAACGAAAGGTGTGACCAGTAGCTTGTACTGAAGGAACCATATGCCCAAACGAAAGGTGTGATGTAGGAGGCCAAAATGTCCATATTCGAAAGAGACATATAGGGGGGAAAAGTGCAAATCGAAGGATACTAAAAGGGAGCCTTTTTCCTTGGAATCGAAGGAGACTACAGGGGGATTTGTGCCTTGTGAATCCAAACCAACGTGCCAGAGGCCCACGCCCAGTCGAAGGATGCAAGCCAAACTTGCATCGAAAGAGGCCAAAAGGCCAACCAAAGGAGCTGAATCGGAGAACACTTGTTTTTCTCTAAATTTTGTCAAAATATTATTTTTATTTGTTTTCTCCCTTTTTGACAATTTCCTTTTAATCTTGGTATTGGAAAATCCAAATGTACTTGTGCAAGCTTGAACCTTTAAAATCCTTGTGAGAAAGGCCTTGAAAAATGAGAGGGCAAATTTTTGGGTACAACACACACTCTAGCTGTTGATATATTGCAAACCGATCTTTGGGGAATCACGTGTCGTATTGCGCATAGTGGAAATAATACCTCCTTTTTGTGAAAATATTTTCAAAATAAAAGCCTGAAGACAAAAGAGTTTGAATTGGTTTGTATTTTTTTACCTTGAAAAAGGATGTGATGATTTGAACCACATAAAGACTATGAATGGAATGAAGGAAAAGCTTCGGGAATGGACCCACTCTTCCTTCTCTACTTCTTAAGGCTCATGAAGTGTGATTCTCATCATTATTTATTAAGTGTTTTTGATTTTAAGAGAAAAATAAGTTTTAGTTTTAAAGATATGCAAAAGGGGAAAAAAGTCAAAGGGACACTAGAGATCCTAATGTTGTCATGCAATGGTGATCCTAAAGTTAGGATTAACAAAGGGAAAGCTACCTAATATTAGCATGCATGGTTTACAAATGTCTATCTCAATTCAAATCTCAACTAGATTGAATCGAGAAATCCTATGGGAACTTGGCATAAAGCATATAGCAAACAACCAAGAGTAAGCCTCGAATATTTAACAAGGCATCAAGATAACAATTGCACAAGTGCACACACACAAACAAAAATTACCTACTTCAAGGTAGGTCTTTACATCAAACATAAATTGCCTACTTTGAGGTAGGTCTTTAAATAAGAAGAAATCACTTACTTCAAGGTAGATCTTTAAATAAACAGAAATTGCCTACTTTAAGGTAGGTCTTTAATTATACATATATTGCCTACTTCGAGGTAGGTCTTTAAATAAACATAAATTGCCTACTTCAAGGTAGGTTTTTAAATAAACAGAAATTGCCTACTTCTAGGTAGGTCAAAAATTGTCTACTTCAAGGTATGTCTTTAAATGCAACTACGCCATATGCTTCTAGAAACTGATAACAGTATGGCATGGTGCACAAAAGAAAGATAAAAGAGATTCAAGTAGTACCTAATGGAGAAAATTTTGTTGCCTCTTCAACGAGCACAAAATAGCTCAAGAATGATTGCAAAATCTTCATCAGCGATCGATCAAATTAATCCTCACACGCTCCACAAAAGTTGCATCAATATCCAATCAACAACTTGATTCACTCAGAGCCTAGAAATAACGAAGAAAAGTCCGCTGCCTCTTTAGCACGCGCAAAAACTCATGAATACTTAGAGAAACTTCACCAATGGCCAATCAAATTTATCCTCAAACGCTCAATATCACAAATCAACCTCTTATCAAGAAATCATGACACAAGTAACGACAAAATGATTATTAATATGAAAAGAATAACTAGAAACTTCAATTGAATTTTAAAGAGAAAAATCCAAAACAATTCTAAAATATTCTAATTGTTTCGTATCATTTTTATCAACAAAAATATGAAAAGAAAAATTAATATGGAAAGAAAATTATATCCCCAATCAGAAGGTGCGTGCAAGCTTGATGCCAGGTGCCGGAAGAATTGATGCTAAGCCCAATGAACAAAGTCCACCAACCATTTTTGTTCAATTTGTAAATCAAATGTTCACACAAAAAAAAGGGACATGGGCCTCAAGATAGCATTGATCCAGTCCATTACCAACAACATCAACAAATTATCCATCAGATTTATAATTCAAAAGGAAATCCTCAATTAAAAAGATGCAAAAAGGAAAATAAATTGCAGAAAAAATGCGTTGTTATATGAGAAGGATAGGGTTCAGGCAATCCCACGAAGTCTTCGCGTGAACTCAAATCCCTCTCTCTTAGGCGTCGCAAATCCATGTTTCTTCTTCTACATTTTCGTTCGCCAAACTCCCAACTGCAGCGGCCGATCTTAACCCTTCATCTCCGAGAATGTGTGGTTAGGATTGATTCAGATTATAACTTGCTCTCAAAGTTTCTGATATTGCTGAGCTGTAAATTTCTAATTCACAAATTCCTCTTCTCACTTGATTTTTCACGATTTCCACCCATTCCTTTGCATATCTTTCTTTTTGCTTTTGTCTTATCTGAATCATGAGCTGGCAGTTTTGTTGCAAGGTTAATTCTGGAATTTTATTGAAGCTGAACCGAGTTCCACTGATTTTTCTCTTGCCTTTTTCTGTTTTGATATTTTCTGCATCAATTTTTCTGGTTTATTATTTTCTGATTCTGAATCGATTTATATACACACAGGGCCATGGTTAATTTGTTGTTGGAATTGCTAACAGGTTTTATGTACAGAGCTATTTTTTTTTTTGGGCAAGGTTTTGGACAAAGCTTTGGCAAGGCTTGAAGAATTGATGAAGTTTAGCATTAGCTTTGGTATGAAGGGAATTATAGATTGGTTCAAGCATAGGTTTTGATTTGATCTTAGAATGTAGGAATGGATTTTCGTGTATTTGTGAATTGGATTCAAACATGTAAAAATTGTAACTTGTAGCATAAATTTGAACCTTGAATGAAGTGTTTGAAACTCTCTTACACTTGAAATGAATTTTTTGTTTGATGCACTCTCATTGAAACTTGAATGAAAAATTGATTGAATAACAAATGAATTACTTGAATTTGGATGATAAAATATGAGTGAGATTTTTGAATAATAATAATGAACTTTGTGTGGAATTTCAAATGAAATCATGGATGAATGATAGAACTTGAATGAGATATTTGAATAAACATTAACGGATTTTGAAAGAATTATATGGATAAACATGAATAATAGATGGTGAAGAATGATATGGAATTTGGATGATGAATATCGATGAACATAGTGAAGGTGTGAAGAAAACGCAGGGGGGTGTTTGAATTGAGTTTTCCTTTCTAGAATAACTTTCTCGCTTCTAGGCACTATTCGTTGAACTATGCTTCTGAGTGTTACTTCTAAATAATGCTTCTAATTAAGTTAAGAAAACATAAACTCTAAAGCATAAGTAAAAGTAAAGAACACGCAATATATTCTGGTTCACTTGAGAAACCCCCAAGCTAGTCTAGTCCATCCTTCCGAGGTGATAGTCCAGTCCACCCTTCTGAGGTGATTTCGCCTTGAACTCAAGGAATTAATTTATTGTAAGCAATATGATTACAATCGCACGGGCAACTGCCAGTGACTAACATCCAATGACGCGTTCAGAGATTCAGACTGGATATAACGTTCATTGACCCAATAGAATCTGATTCCCCAGAATCTCCTACCAGGATTTCCTTCCAATGATATCCATCAGTGATCTCACAAAACTGACTTTCACTCAGTCTCCTTTGAGATATGACTACCATTGACCCAAAAGAATCTCCTACCAGGATTTCATCTCTGATGACCGCAACCAAAGTCTTCATGAGAATTCTGACTCAACCGAGTCTCTCAAGGAATCACCAAACAACTGTTTGGATTACATTTGTTTACAATAATAATTCTTTTACACAAGTTGGATGTAAACAAAATTAAGTACATCATAAGAACCTAATACACACTAAAAGATATTACATTTTATTGTAGCTTCAATGTGTGGTCTTCTTTTCTTCAAGTAACTTATTCACAGACAACATCCCAAAGCACTTGAATCGTTGAAGTCTTCTTCTTCACAAGCTTCTAAAAGTTTTATTGATCTTGATGTAGTAAAGAGAAGAACTTCTTCATCTTGATTCACTTTAGAATATTTTGAACAGTAGCCCTTGTTCCATTTTCTTCTATGATCACTTTAGAACACAACATATGTATTGTGGATTTATAACTAAAGCTTTCATGATCATCTTAATTATCTTCTGCGGCTTAGCAAGCTTTATGCAGCATATGAAATTAAGCACATTGTGAATCACTGATTTCATTGTAATCAATATCAACATGATTGAAGAATCATTTTGATAACAATTATTCTGATTTTTGTTATAGTGGTTGACATCTTTTTGGTTGTATTCAAATAATGACAACTTTCATTTTTGACATCGAACACCAACAACGTTGCAACTAGCAACTTCTAGCATCATGCAACTAGAAACATTTAAACATAGGATTATTTTCTTATATAACCAAGCAAAATAGAGCCGTTGACTATTTGAAAAAGAGTCGTTGCAAATAATAATGCTACGTCCTTATCTCTTCCATAATTCAAGCTAGTGGAGAGGTAGTGGAATAAGGCTTTTCATACTATGTACTATTGTACCATGTTATCGTTATATCCTTTCCTTCTGCACTTCAGATACTTTTGCGAGCATGAGTTTAGAAGCGGGAACATAATATAAGATCTTCAGAACTTTAAGTCTTCAGAACTGCGTCTTCAGAGTCTTCAGCACTTGGTCGTGAGAACCCGTTGTAGAGAACTTGGATCATAAAAACTTCAAGTCTTTGGAATCTTCAGACCATTTGTCTTTAGAATGTTTAGCACATGGTTCTTTAAGAATCCTTGTCTTTAGAACCTTGTTATTAGAAACACAAAGTCTTTAGCATCTGAAATTCAGTAGAAATGATGTCTTCACATCTTTTAACTTTGTCTTCTTTGAAACAAGTTGTCTTTTATAAACTAAGTTTTTAGCACCTGGACTTTAGTAGAAGATCTGTCTTCAGATCTTTTAACTTTGTTTCTTTGGAACACAATGTCTTTTAGAAACATGAGTCTTCAGCATCTGGACTTAAGTAGAAACCTCTATCTTCAAATCTTCTATTGTTTTCTTAGAACACATTGTCTTTAGAAGCTTGAGTCTTCAACATCTGGACGTAAGTAGCAACTCCTGTCTTCAGATCTTTTGACTGGTTTCTTTTGAAAAATATTAGAGCTTACACTCCATAGCCTTCTGGAGTATCTTGCTACTGTTCAATAGAACTTGTGTAGCACAGAAATGAAACTAATTCTCTTCTAATGTCTTTGCCATGCCATCCATCAGAAGCAGAACCTGTTTGTTAAGTACTCAACAATAACAAACATTAGTATAAAAAAAATTTCACACAAATATACCCATTTATTATCATCAAAACTCAGATAATACTGCAGAACCAAATCGTGTTCTTTCAATCTCTCCTTTTTTATGATGACAAAACTATATATTTTGATGACACAATTTTGTATATATAATCATAACCAGTGAATTTAGAAAGGTAAGGAATACTTATCCTTTTTATGATACTCCCTCTAAGTTAATGATTTGATGAAGATTGAATATACTGACTCTGAACCATTTGATTAAAACCCCCTAGTTCCAATAAATCATATATCGAGATCTTGAGAGTCTTGATTCTGGAATTTTAGACGGTCTTCAACATCTGATTTTCTCTGTTCTTTTGGAAGGCAGCTGCTTCTGCTTTTGATTCTTATTTTCTGAATATCACATTCTCAGACATTTTACATCTTCTGAACATTATTGATACCAAAATCAAGATAACTTTAACTTTCAGAAAGTTCTCAACTTCTAAACCGTATTAAGTCTATTTGATTCTTGAATATATGTTCATAGAGTGTAGATCTTCGATTATATGAACAATAAGTTCTTTTAAGAGATTAAGTAGATTTCTTTCATTTAGACCTGTCTTAGAATGCTTTTTGAACTTGTTCAGAGTTCCTCGGTTAATTGACAAACAGACAAACACACGTCAATGGTAAATGAACATTTTATTATTATGATGATTTTTTGTATTTATTTAGGTTCATCAAAATTATTATACTTCGCCCCCTTTTTGACATCATCAAAAAGGTAACTTATGCGTGAAAAACATAAGTAATTTCAAACAATCCAAAATAAGAAGTAAGTAATCAGCAGATAATCAGAGGAGCACAAACATATTTCTATGGTTCATAAGCAAAAGGAAAGATAAAATCCTAGAGCCTAAGGTTCAGGAGCAGGAGCAGAAATATTTTGCAGAATCAGCTGTAACATGTTCTAAACATTCTCATTGACAACCTTATGTTCAATGATACTTTCTCTAAACACCTTTTGTTCTCCTTTAACTTCAATAATTTCTTTTTCTAGATGTACAATGTTAGGATAAAAAGATGAAGCAATCAAAGCATCTTCTTTAGCCTTAGAAGCTTCTTCTGCTTCTTTATCCAATCTGGCTTCTTCTGCCTCTTAAGCCTTAAGTCTGGCTTCCTCTTCTTCTTTTAGCACTCTAGCTTCTGATTCTCTTTATTTTGCAGCAATTAGTTCAACATATCTTACTCTTTCTCTTGCTTCTTTTCTTTCAGACACCATTTGGAAATCCCCAATTTTGGATGCTTCAGCAAAAGTATTCATTCGTTCAACTTCAGAAGACATCCACTTCCGAAAAAGTTTCCAAGAACCATCCATGTCATGAGGCTCAGTACTTGTACTTGCCTCTGCCCTTAACTTAGCAACCTTTTTCTTAGCCTTGATTCTAAAAATGTTAATTCATTCATTCAAGCTTTTAGGAGTAGTTTTTTCATAAACAACTAAGGCTAGGTTGAATTCAAAATGGCTTGGTTCAGAAGTTTGTTCATGAGGATTTTGTGGTAAAGATTGTTCGATAATATTGAAAAGTTTGGAAAAAGTGAAAGGTTCAGTTGAGGAAATTTCAATAGCTCCCTGATTATCAGAGATTGTCCTTTTATACATTTTGAGAATAGAGGGAGAAATCGGATCAGGATAAATGATGGGTGAGTCATGGAGAGTGGTTTCTTTGTTAAATAAAGCAAAATGAAGATTTGTATTAAAAGTTGAAAAATGTGAAGTTTGTGGAAGTAATTGAGATGAGATTAATGGAGATGTAGAAGTGTGTATTGGTTATGATGGAATGAAGGTAGTGAGATATGGAATAGGATTTAAAGCAAGAACTTGTGTGGTGGTGATGGATTTAGAAATGGTTGTTGTTGATGGTGGAAAAGATTCATTTGAAATTACAATAATTTCAGTTGTAGTGATGTTGGAAACAGTTGGAATATTTGCAATTGGAATAGGAGCAGAAGTAGTAATGGTGGATGATGTAACAAAGGATATGTAAGCTATGATGTTTGTGTGATGGTGGTTGGAACGGATGAGACTGCATCAATAATTTTAGAAACAGATAATGAAACAGGTACAGAAGTATCGAACTTACTAGACATTATAGAAGTTTCAACTCCCAGAATGACATCTTTAAGAAGTTTAGAATTTTTATTCTTCTTTCTTTCAGGATTAGAATCGTCTGATCTTTATTTCCTTTTTCCTTTAGAACAATCATATTTATCAACAAAATATTTGGTGATGTCGAAATTCGACATATCATGTCCTTCTCTAGCCATTCTTAGGACATATGCAGCTACGTCATTTAAGTTACCCGTCTTGGAGAATAGAGGAAAGTTGTCAATAAGG